GTATATTATATATTTTATATAGTTTATGAAATATCTCATATATCTTTCTTTATTTGGTATATAAGATATCATATATAGTATGAGATATCTCATACAAAATTAAACGTGATATCTTTATTAAGGATATAATATATTCTATATACTATGAGATATCTCATATATAAATTCAATGAGATATCTTTATTTAGTTATTATATACTTCTTTATTTAGTGTATAAGATATCATATAAAGTATGAGATATCTCATATAAAATTAAATGAGATATCTTCATTAAGTATATAAGATATCATATATAGTATGAGATATCTCTTATTAAAATTAAATGAGATATCTTTATTAAGTATATAAGATATCATAAAGAAATCATTGAGGAGTCCTTGTGTTGGAATTAAAAATAAAAAATAGAACAAAAGATAGAGATAGCGTCTCTAGGCCTTTCTCGGGTTGATTGTATGTAGATACAAAAGGAATAATTCCTTGGTCATCGTTGGCTCTACACGGGATGTAAAAGGTCCCTTCTCTATAGCTCTATTTAAAATGACTTTGCATTATTGATGACGTCATACTTTCTTGTGTAAACAACTATGACCTCACAATACCTGTTTTCAAAATAAACAGTCTCCTGATGAACGGGGAATCAACCCGAGAAAGGCCTAGAGACGCTCTCTCTGTCTTTTGTTCTATTTTTTTTATAAGATATCATATATAGTATGAGATATCTCATATATAAATTAAATGAGATATCTGTATTTAGTATATTATATATTTTATATAGATTATGAGATATCTCATTACACTACGTTATCATATATACTCCATAACGTAATGTAAGGAGATATCTGATTTTAATAAGATTTTGAAATATCTCATATATATTTCTTTATTTAGTATATAAGATATCAAATATAAAATGAGATATCTCATATATAAATTAAATGAGATAACTTTATTTATTACATTAGATATTTTTATATAGGTTATGAGATATCTCATATATTAATTAAATGAGATATTTTTATATTAAGTATATAAAATATATGTTTTAATTTGAATATCGTTACTATATGATATCTGATATTGAATGAGATTTCGTGAAATTAAATTGAGAAAATAATTTCACCCCCAGAATCGTTCGGAGCACATATTTCAAATGTTGGCATTGGGAGACTTGACTGTTTTTTCTTTTTTTTTTAAATCTCGTTCTTCTATAAGATATCTTATATAAGATATTGCACATTATATGAGATATCTTATTGAGTGTATGATATACATTATATATTTAATAAGATATCTTATATACATATGGGATATGTTATACAGCATCTCATTACATTTCTATATAAGATATATCATATACTATGTAAGATATCTCATATACAGTATAAGATATCTCATAATCTGTATAAGATATCTCATATACTGTATACGATATATCATATTCTGTATAAGATATCTCATAAACTATATAAAATATCTCATAAACTGTATAATATATCTCATAATCTGTATATGGAATATCATAGTCCGTAAAAGATATCTCATAAACTGTATAAGAAATCTCATATTCTGTATAAGATATATCATATACTGTATAAGATATCTTATATACTGTATAAGATTTCTCATATACTGTATAAGATATCTCAAATATTGTATAAGGTATCTCATATACTGTATAAGATATCTCATAAACTGTATAACATATCTCATTTACTGTATAAGATATCTCATATTCTGTATAAGATATCTCATATACTGTATAAAATATCTTATATACTGTATAAGATTTCTCATATACTGTATAAGATATCTCAAATACTGTATAAGGTATCTCATATACTGTATAAGATATCTCATAAACTGTTTACGATATCTCAAACACTGTATACAGTTTATGACATATCTTATACAGTATACGAGATATCTTATACAGTTTATCAGATATCTTATACAGTAAATGAGTTATCTTATACAGTATACGAGATATCTTATACATAATATTAGATATCTTATACAGCATATGATATATCGTATACAGTATATGAGAGGTACTGAAATGTTTATACTTTAGTGTTGTCAGTGAGGTACTGAAATGTTAATACTTTAGTGTTGTCACTGAGGGACTGAAGTATTGGTACTTTGGTGTTGTCAGTGAGGTACTGAAATGTTAATACTTTAGTGTTGTCACTGAGGGACTGAAATGTTTATACTTTAGTGTTGTCAGTACCTCACTGACAACACCATGTATAAGATATCTAATATTATGTATAAGATATCTGATAATCTGTATACGATATATAATATTCTGTATAAGATGTCTCATAAACTGTATACAGTGTTTGAGATATCGTTTACAGTTTATGAGATCTCTTATACAGTATATGGGATACCTTATACAGTATTTGAGATAACTTATACAGTATATGGGATACCTTATACAGTATTTGAGATAACTTATACAGTATATGCGATATCTTATACAGTGTATGAGATATCTTATCCAGTTTATGAGATATCTTATACGGTATATGAGATATCTCATAACCTGTATACGATATCTCATAAACTATATAAAATATCTCATAAACTGCAAAAGATATCTTATAAACTGTATAGGATATCTCATATACTATATAAGATATCTCATTAACTGTATAAGAAATCTCATATTCTGTATAAGGTATCTCATATACTGTGTAAGATATCTCATAAGCTGTATAACATATCTCATTTACTGAATAAGATATCTCATATGCTGTATAAAATATCTTATATACTGTATAAGAGATCTCATAAACTGTATACAGTGTTTGAGATATCGTATACAGTTTATGAGGTATCTTATACGGTATATGAGATATCTCATATACTATATAAGATATCTCATCTACTGTATAAGAAATCTCATATTCTGTATAGGATATCTTATATACTGTATAAGATAACTCATTTACTGTATAAGATATTTATTAAACTGTATCAGATATCTCATATACCGTATAAGATACCTCATAAACTGTATAAGAAATCTCATATTCTGTATAAGGTATCTCATAAACTGTTTACGATATCTCAAACACTGTACAAGATATCTCATTAACTGTATAAGAAATTTCATTTACTGTATAAGATATCTAATATTATGTATAAGATATCTAATATTATGTATAAGATATCTGATATACTGTATAAGAGATCTCATAAACTGTAAACGATATCTCAAACACTGTATTGTTATACAGCATCTCATTGTATTTTACTATGTATTGTACACGATTAAAATAAGGTCACGTCGTAATCTGGCGATATATCATATTCTGTATAAGGTATCTCATATACTGTGTAAGATATCTCATATACTGTATAAGATATCTCATAAACTGTATAAGATATCTCATTTACTGTATAAGATATCTCATATACTGTATAAGATATCTCATTTACTGTATAAGATATCTCATAATCTGTATACGATATATCATATTCTGTATAAGATATTTATTAAACTGTATAAGATATCTCATATACTGTATAAGATATCTCATAAACTGCAAAAGATATCTTATAAACTGTATAAGATATCTTATATACTGTATGATATATCTTATATACTGTATGAGATATCTTATATACTGTATAAGATATCTTATTTACATATTGGATATCTTATACAGCATCTCATTGTATTTTACTATGTATTGTACACGATTAAAATAAGGTCACGTCGTAATCTGGGTTACATTGTCTGATATTTACTTCCGTCAAGGACTGGTGGTTGTCAAATGTAAAGAATAATATTTTAGCAGTATACAAATGGCAGGGTCAATGTCGACGTTTCAATGTGATCGGTTGTGTACAATAGCATTGGTAGTGTACATGACCCCTCCGTCCCGGTCACAAGCTGGACTGATCACTCTGGCCTGCATGGTTCAGGGTTAGTCCTGGCACATGTCAGTACAAGAAAATCCTTGTCGTTTAATCTTTTTCACCATAAAAAGGAGAGTTGAAATGGTTTGGTTATCATGTATGAAGAACAATGCGATATATGGCCATCGGAGAAATCTTAAAAATGTTGTTTTTTTGTCTCAGAAAATACATCTGATTTCATCAAAGACATTTTGTGCACAAACACAATCGTGGATATTATTTATAATATTGTAATATAATAACCATATACATGTTCTCCTGAAATATCCAGTCAGTGACAGTTATGGAAAATTGTACAAAAATGCTTCAAATATCCAGAATGATGATATCACAATTAAACCACGATGCTAACAAGGCGGAGTGCACGAGTCAAGCCAGATCGCAGACTTAGTCAGTACAGCATCCAAATAACATACTACACATAAGCCTGGTTAGCTTTCAGCATAGTATGGAAACGTGTATGTATGTAATCACTCTGGAATGTTTAGGCTTTTACTTATAGTTTCCTTGATTATCCCAACACGGGTATTTCAGCAGATCATGCAGGTGTTTATCCTTTTATTATTGGAAACAACCAAAGGACATGAGTTTGTACGTGTGTGTTATCAATGGTCAAATCTGCGAAAGAAAATGGTATTTTCAACCGTTTCCCAAACGGTAATAGTTTTAAATGTTCTCAATATGCTTGTTTCGAAGAAATATGACGAGCCCCTCAGAAAGACACTGCCGGTAGATTGTACGTTTATGTTAAAACTCCTTTTACTGTAGCTGGAATCTATTCTGACAGAGTTTACATGCAAACTATTTTATATTATCAGTTATAAAGTTGTAACATTATAATTTAAGGGTTCTATTGGCAAATTCTACTTATGCTCTCTACAAAATCCGTTAACTTAAGTACTATTCAATACCATAAATGGTCATATAGTACTGCAAAATGCTTACTTTTTTTTCTATCTGAATTTACAAACATTTTTTTTTTCAAATAGACGCCCCCTTTCTCCGTAATTATGGTGATTATTTCTTGTACATCTTTCGCAGTATTAATAAAAAATGTATCAATGACAATATCACGTGTTTTAGTATTTTAATACCTCTGCTCTTTTTCCATTCGAACATAGACTCAATGTTAAACTGACGTTTAAAGAGATGGTATCATTGGTGTCTAATGGCACTAACTAATATAAACAATATAGGAAGGACGATATCATGCCTGCCCCAAGGGACTGACCATTACAGCTTAGTCAAGCAGGAATAAGACATGCCATTTAACGAATAACACATTACAGCTTAGTCAAGCAGGAATAAGACATGCCATTTAACGAATAACACATTACAGCTTAGTCAAGCAGGAATAAGACATGCCATTTAACGAATAACACATTACAGCTTAGTCAAGCAGGAATAAGACATGCCATTTAACGAATAACACATTACAGCTTAGTCAAGCAGGAATAAGACATGCCATTTAACGAATAACACATTACAGCTTAGTCAAGCAGGAATAAGACATGCCATTTAACGAATAACACATTACAGCTTAGTCAAGCAGGAATAAGACATGCCATTTAACGAATAACACATTACAGCTTAGTCAAGCAGGAATAAGACATGCCATTTAACGAATAACACATTACAGCTTAGTCAAGCAGGAATAAGACATGCCATTTAACGAATAACACATTACAGCTTAGTCAAGCAGGAATAAGACATGCCATTTAACGAATAATATCATTTTTATTTATCTACACGCAGTTAACTGTTCCTTCACTCGACCTTCAAAAGTCAGTTTTTGGTCGTTTTGCCAGATACGCCTTTATCTTGGGCAAAGCCGCGATCTTTTCCATGTGTGCCTTGACCTTTGGCCCCGAAGCAAAGACATTATCGTACTTCATAGACATTCCATCCATGATATCAAACAATGCCAGATCTGCGAGGGAGCACTGTAACAGACAATGTTTACGTTAACTTTACACAAGGCATATATATATAACGAGATAAGAAAAAAAATCAAGATGACACGTATAGGCTTCCGTATATATACATATATATAGTGTAACTGTTCAAAGAAATTTAACAAATATCTTTTTTTTTTAAACGAACAGAGTGCCATTATTTCACAACGGACATAGTTCACTAATTAAAACGCTTTATAACAATATTATCAACGAATTTTTATCTATAACACATGTAGTAGGCAGCAAAAATATGATAGTGATAGACAGTGTAGATGAAGATTAATTCAAAACGAAGTTTGCATTGTTTTAGTTTATCAATGTTTTCACTATATTGACAAGAGGAAGTTTAACTAAACTGCATTCCACCAGCTAATCGTTCAACAGTCTCGAGGATATGATATGGTTTAATGATACAGTATGACATCCGATGGAAATACACCTACGACGTCAGGTTTATTTACTGAACGGCTATGACAGACATAATCTGTGCTTAAATATAACAGTGACAAATAAGACTGCTTTACGTACTTACCGCAGAACCTGCAAGAAAACCTGACTTGTTGGCAGATACTTTTTTCTCCATTTTCGTCACGAACTCTGGTATTGTTTTTTCTGTATGGGTTTTCAAGAGCTCAGCCTAAGGAAAGTATTCGGCAAAATTAGCACTGAATAGTTAATTAATGCGAAATATAAAAATTATCAACAAGATGGTGGCGGTATAGCAAACCTGTAAACTGGTAATCAATAAAAAGTAATATTTTTAAATACATTTTGATAACCAAATATATTTTTGAACAATAACTATAATTTATAATTTTTTATGTTTATATAACGGATTATCCCTCGGCAATAGCTTTCACTGATACAGAAACAATACGCGTGCAAATTTACGTACAATTACACCATGACTGCGCGTGTTAAATTCTAAATTTGGAAGATTTAACAATTCGACATTTGTGTTTTGGATAAAAACCTACATGTACATTATTTTTACCTTTTTGGCGTCATCTTTCTCAAACATCACCTTCACTGCGCCTGTCCGGTAGTCTGCTATGTCGTCCACAATTTCGTCAATATTAAGTTGGTCTAGAGAAGTCTTCCCATAAAAACCTGTTAAAAACAATTCACGTAACAGTGATTATCGATTCTTCCAACATATTTTACAAAATAGATATATAAGCTTTAATCAATTCCCTCTTGGTTGCCCGAGTGTCAGCGCACAGGGTGTCCTAATGTGGAAGGAAACCGGGACCTACGTGGTCGGGCAGGTGACCGCAGCACATTTTCACATCCGATCGGGGAATCGAACTGTCCCGGTGAAAGGTGAGTGCGCTATCCACTGTGCCACCCGACCACAAATACTGTACATATACTAGCTAATTGTGTCCAAATTAATAATGGGAAAACTTCAGTATTACGTTTTATTACGTCATGCTTATCAATATGACAAACAATTTCAGTGGAACTTTTAATAATAACATCAGTAAATGTTTCATAATAGCCATATATATTTTAGATTGGGATCTATAACCTTACCCCATTCTCTGGCAAGGTATCTGCCTAGAGACGAACTCTGTCCATACTTTTTACCGTCGATTTCCAGATAAGGCAATGTTCCGCCAGGGGCATCTAAAAGTAAACGAAATATATACATAGGTTAATATCAGTTCTAGCTGGGAAACTAAGCTGATACTATAATGTCGCAATGGTTATTGCGGCAGGTGTCATAGTGATATGAGTGTTCGATTTTCACGTTATCATAACGGTGTATGGCAATGCGTCGTGATGCCAGTTAAATTTTCTAATTGTTGACAGAGAAAACAATATACCTATTTATCATCAGCAATAACGTTTGACACTTTAGTCATCACCGAGAGCAATAAAATATTAATACTTCAGTCCCTTAACGGCAACACTAAAGTATTAACATTTCAGTACCTCACTGACAACACTAAAGTATAAACATTTCAGTACCTCACTGACAACACTAAAGTATAAACACTTCAGTCCCACACTGACAACACTGAAGTGTTAATACTTTAGGGTTGTCACTGAGGGACTGTAATGTTTATACTTTAGTGTTGTCAGTGAGGTACTGACAACACTAAAGTATTAACATTTCAGTACCTCACTGACAACACTAAAATATAAACACTTCAGTCCCTCACTGACAACACTAAAGTATTAACATTTCAGTACCTCACTGACAACACCAAAGTATAAACACTTCAGTCCCTCAGTGACAACACTAAAGTATTAACATTTCAGTACCTCACTGACAACACTAAAGTATAAACACTTCAGTCCCTCACTGACAACACTAAAGTATTAACATTTCAGTACCTCACTGACAACACTAAAGTATAAACACTTCAGTCCCTCAGTGACAACACTAAAGTATTAACATTTCAGTACCTCACTGACAACACTAAAGTATAAACACTTCAGTCCCACACTGACAACACTAAAGTATAAACATTTCAGTCCCACACTGACAACACTAAAGTATAAACATTTCAGTCCCTCACTGACAACACTAAAGTATTAACATTTCAGTACCTCAGTGACAACACTAAAGTATTAACATTTCAGTACCTCACTGACAACACTAAAGTATTAACATTTCAGTACCTCACTGACAACACTAAAGTATTAACATTTCAGTACCTCAGTGACAACACTAAAGTATTAACATTTCAGTACCTCACTGACAACACTAAAGTATTAACATTTCAGTACCTCACTGACAACACTAAAGTATTAACATTTCAGTACCTCACTGACAACACTAAAGTATTAATACTTCAGTCCCTCAGTGACAACACTAAAATATTAATACTTCAGTCCCTCAGTGACAACACTAAAGTATTAACATTTCAGTACCTCACTGACAACACTAAAGTATTAACACTTCAGTCCCACACTGACAACACTAAAGTATTAACACTTCAGTCCCATACTGACAACACTAAAGTATTAACACTTCAGTCCCTCACTGACAACACTAAAGTATTAACACTTCAGTCCCTCAGTGACAACACTAAAGTATTAATACTTCAGTCCCTCACTGACAACACTAAAGTATTAACACTTCAGTCCCTCAGTGACAACACTAAAGTATTAACACTTCAGTCCCTCACTGACAACACTAAACTATTAACACTTCAGTCTCTAACTGACAACACTAACGTATTAGCACTTCAGTCCCTCACTGACAACATTAAAGTACTAACACTTCAGTCACACACTGACAACACTAAAGTATCAACTTTCAGTCACACACTGAAAACACTAAAGAATAAACATTTCAGTCCCACACTGACAACACTAAAGTATAAACACTTCATTCCCATACTGACAACACTAAAGTATTAACACTTCAGTCTCTCACTGACAACACTAAAGTATTAACACTTCAGTCCCTCACTGATAAAACTAAAGTATTAACACTTCAGTCCCTCAGTGACAAAAATAAACTATTAACACTTCAGTCTCTAACTGACACACTAACGTATTAGCACTTCAGTCCCTCACTAACAACATTAAAGTACTAACACTTCAGTCACACACTGACAACACTAAAGTATCAACTTTCAGTCCCACACTGACAACACTAAAGTATAACCACTTCAGTCCCATACTGACAACACTAAAGTATTAACACTTCAGTCTCTCACTGACAACACTAAAGTATTAACACTTCAGTCCCATACTGACAACACTAAAGTATTAACACTTCAGTCCCTCACTGATAACACTAAAGTATTAACACTTCAGTCCCTCAGTGACAACACTAAACTATTAACACTTCAGTCTCTAACTGACAACACTAACGTACTAACACTTCAGTCACACACTGACAACACTAAAGTATCAACTTTCAGCTAAAGTATTAACATTTCAGTTCCTCACTGACAACACTTACGTATTAAGACTTCAGTCCCTCAGTGACAGCACTAAAGTACCCACACTTCAGCACCTCACTGACAACACTAAAGCATTAACACTTCAGTCTCTCTATTAACATTTCAGTTCCTCACTGACAACACTAACGTACTAACACTTTAGTCACACACTGACAACACTAAAGGATTATCACTTCAGTCCCTCAGTGACAGCACTAAAGTACCCACACTCAGTCCCACACTGACAACACTAAAGTATTAACACTTCAGTCCCTCAATGACAACACTTACGTATTAACACTTCAGTCTCTCACTGACAACACTAAAGTATTAACACTTCAGTCTCTCACTGACAACACTAAAGTATTAACACTTCAGTCCCTCAGTGACAACACTAAAGTACCCACACTTCAGTCCCTCACTGACAACACTTACGTATTAACACTTCAGTCCCTCAGTGACAACACTAATGTATTAACATTTCAGTACCTCACTGACAACACTAAAGTATTAACACTTCAGTCCCACACTGACAACACTCAGTCCCACACTGACAACACTAAAGTATTAACACTTCAGTCCCTCACTGAGTTGTCCATAAAATCGATGTCGATTTCGGCTACGCTGGAAACGTATGTACAATAGTTGTTAATTATGTACCGAAATGACTCAATTCAGCTACGCTTTGTTGTTTAGAAACAAGATTTATCGTCAAGACAGTTTACCTGAGTCTTATTAGCCCCTTGATGACTCAATTCAGCTACGCTTTGTTGTTTAGAAACAAGATTTATCGTCAAGACAGTTTACCTGAGTCTTATTAGCCCCTTGAACGTTAAGGGAGGGACTGGAATGTATTCTCGACACGACCAATGTAGTCGACTATACAGTGTTCAGGGCACCCGTGCTAAATATACTAATATAAAGAGGGGGAAACCTCAGGACTGAATGAAACATTCGAGTCATCCGCTGTATTCGATTTAAACACGTTCGACACAAACGAGTTTTACAGAACTAACATACTTTAGTCCTGCCCTGACAGAAACTAGAATACTAACAGGTCAACAAGGTTCCCGCTGTATGCCTGACAGTGTATCTCCCGTATAGAGTACTGACAGGTCAGCAAGGACCCCGCTGTATGCCTGACAGTGTATCTCCCGTATAGAATACTGACAGGTCATTTGATCAGCTAGGGCCCGCTGTATGCCTGACAGTGTATCTCCCGTATAGAATACTGACAGGTCAGCAAGGGCCCGCTGTATGCCTGATAGTGTATCTCCCGTATAGAATACTGACAGGTCAGCAAGGGCCCGCTGTATGCCTGACAGTGTATCTCCCGTATAGAATACTGACAGGTCAGCAAGGACCCCGCTGTATGCCTGAGAGTGTATCTCCCGTATAAGCACCAAGCAAAAACAAAAGTGATCATTGACTGTACAGGACCATTTACAATACATTTTGACAGTATATGCCCTGTTCTATTTTAAAGTAACGGCAACGTTGACCTTCGAAACTTTTTAAAGCCCTTTGCAGATGTACATCTAGTGAAATTTAAGAAAGTTTGGCCTTCTGTAAAGGCCTTATATGATGTATTTGACAGTATATTCCCGTTTCAGTAGTTAGTAACACCGACCTTGACCTTAGGAACTATTTTAAACCACTATTGCACAACTGTATATAATTTCAGTGTATCATCATGAGAAATTTCAGTAATGACGTATTTTTGATAGTATATTCCCGGTTCTATTGTTTGTAATAGCGACTTTGAACTTATGAATTTTTTAAACCACTATTGCACCACTACCACTGCATATAATTACAGTGTACCATCAAAAGAAATTTCAGAAAGTTTGGCCTTATGTTTGGCCCTTATCGGATGTCTTTTCGACTGCATATTCCCGCGTCTATTTTTTAGTAACAGCGACCTTGACCTAGGATATTTGTAAACCATTATTGCACATCTGCGTATAATCACAATTTATCATCATAAGACATTTCAGAAAGTTTGGCCTCCTGTTAGGGCCTTTTATGATGTGTTTTTGACAGTTTATTCCTTATTCTTTTTTTAGTAACAGTGATCTTGACCTTAGGACTTTTTTAAACCCCTATTGCACATCTGCACATCACAGTGTATCAACATGGGAAATTTCAGGATCATGAGATGACGGACGAGCGGCCACCGTATTTACTATAGGGACACCGCGTTTTGCGGGGCCCTACTAAATTATTAACACATACTTTCGCCAGTAACATACCAGTATTAATAAGTCATTAACGGCTCGCCAGTAACATACCAATATTAATAAGTCAATAACAGCTCGCCAGTAACATAACAATATTAATAAGTCATTAACGGCTCGACAGTAACATACCAATATTAATAAGTCATTAACGGCTCGCCAGTAACATACCAGTATTAATAAGTCATTAACGGCTCGCCAGTAACATACCAATATTAATAAGTCATTAATGGCTCGCCAGTAACATACCAGTATCAACTAGAACTGTAAGCTAAATGCTATCTACATGTAATACCCCCGCTCCTATGTAAACCAGAAGTTTAAGCTTAAGGCTTACTAAGGCAAGGTAAATAGTCTACCACCAGTAACAAGTATTTCGCACAAAGGGGCATAACTCCATCAAAAAGGGTCGAAATCCCAAATTAAAATGCCGGTGCACAACTACATAAGATACTGATCATTCATGCAAAGTTTCAATGAAATCCACCTGTTTGTTATGGAGGAGTGCGCGGAAAAGGATTTTGCAAAAAGGGGCATAACTCCATCAAAAAGGGTTGAAATCCCAAATTAAAATGCCGGTGCACAACTACATAAGATACTGATCAGTCATGCAAAGTTTCAATGAAATCCACCTGTTCGTTAAGGAGGAGTTGCGCGGAAAAGGATTTTGCAAAAAGGGGCATAACTCCTTCAAAAAATGTCGAAATCCCAAATTAAAATGCCGGTGCACAACTGCATAATATACTGATCATTTATGCAAAGTTTCAGTGAAATCCACCTGTTAATTAAAGAGGGGTTTTCCGGACAAGTTACTGCGGACGACAGACAGACAGACATCCAGACAGGGTGATTCCAGAATACCCTCCCTTACTTCGTTGCGCGGGTATAATAAGTCATAAACGGCTCGTCAGTAACATACCAGTATTAATAAGTCAGTAACGGCTCGCCAGTAACATACCAGTATCAACTAGAACTGTAAGCCAAAGGCTAACTAATACCCCCGCTCCTATATAAAACAGAACTGTAAGCTTAAGGCTTACTAATGCAAAGCAATATAGTCTCCCACCAGTAATGAGTTAATCGCTATTTCATATAAAAACAAAAACAAAAAAAATAACAGAAAAATAAACAAGTATTTCGCACAAAGGGGCGTAAATCCATTAAAAAGGGTTGAAATCCCAAATTAAAATGCCGGTGCACAACTACATAAGATACTGATCATTCATGCAAAGTTTCAATGAAATCCACTTGTTCGTTAAGAAGGAGTTGTGCGGACAAGTATTTCGCAAAAAGGTGCATAACTCCATCAAAAAGGGTCGAAATCCCAAATTAAAATACCGGTGCACAACTACATAAGATACTGAACATTCATGCAAAGTTTCAATGAAATCCACCTGTTAATTAAGGAGGAGTTTCCCTTACTTCGTTGCGGGCGTATAATAAGTCATTAACGGCGCTACAATACACCACTCACATACCAAACTAGACTGGCCACCGTCTCTAGAATATTAAATAATTAAGAAAAAACTAACTCTAATAATTTTGATCACTTGGATGTCTGGTTCTAGAGTTCTAAGTTCTAAACTAGGGGGAGATAAGCTAGTAGTAAAATGCAGTCGAGAAATTCTTCATAAAAACTTAGGGGCTGGTGGCCAGTCTAATACCAAACTATTACACTATTATTGTAATATCACACTTACTTTGTTTGTGTTCTGGCCATTTATCAAATGCTATGCGGATATCTTCGAACTTCTTATCGGAAAGAGCAAACAGCAGTCGGATTACCTCTGCACGGCCGCGACCATCGAAGTAATACAGAGTGAATTTGGTCATTTTGATGAGCGGTTATGACCTGTGGTACGCAGATATAAATGAAATAATGTGAGAGGCGAGCGTGTGCGCGCTGGTTTTTATTCTATCGAAGCTTGACGTCACGGTTGAAATACAAAAGAAAGCAGGGTGAAGAAACAGGTCGCCGTTTACTTGTACGTGTTATATATATAATTTGTATACACAGGAGTGACACACCAAGGACAGATATATTGTTTGATGTAAATAAATGCGATCATCTTAAACCTGTTTGGCAACATTAAACGATTCATAAGACTAACCAAACGTTAATCCTGTGTAAAACAACTTTGAAGTGTATTAGTTATATCTGATACGTTTGAAATCTTCTATCAGAACAAAATGTGCACTGTATATGTGGTATACATATATACAATAGGTATATATGTATACAATAGGTATATATGTATACAATAGGTATATATGCATACAGTAGGTATATATGTATACAAAAGGTATATATGTATACAATAGGTATATATGTATACAGTAGATATAATGTATACAATAGGTATATATGTATACAATAGGTATATATGTATACAGTAGGTATATATGTATACAATAGGTTATGTAGCATCAGACATAGACCTATGCATTATATATATATAAATAAACATATATAAATGGATAAGATAACAGGCTAGGCCTATATCAATCTCCTTTGTATTATATGGAATGAAGTGTTAGAGGGGCGATAACTCTGTTATCGTTCCTCTGAACGAAATGTTAACACGGCTAAATGTAGCTAATTTGCCGCATATAACAGCGATTTGAGTACGAAAAAAAACGGCTCCATAACTTTTGCTGAAATTTTCCAAGTTTGTAGAACTCAGCGCGATCTACCTCCTTGTGTATCTGTTATATCTGGGGAAAATCTAGTTATTGAGATATTTGGTGTAAAACACGCCAAAATCGGCATTTTGACCATTAGTAGCTGTATAATTCACCCTGGAGAATTAACACTTAAAGCTGACGAACTGAAACTCCAAACATAAGTAGTCCAAGTTATTCTGAAGAAAACAATATATTTGGTTTTTCGATATCTTTCAAAGAACGGCCCTGAGAGGGTTTTGAAAATGGGGTGTATTTCTGGGGTTTCGTGGAATTTTCCAGAAGATCCGATTTCCCCGTAGTCCAGCGCCAATTTGGGTACCCCCTCTAGGCTAGAATTGAGATAAGAGCTTGTTGCGCATGCGTTAAATACGAAGAAATGTTCTAGCCGCTTATCCGGTTCAACTTGTAGCGGTGAGTTGGATGGAATTTTGACTAGTGCCAGTAATTTCTACCATTTTACGATATTCTACGTTATGGCTATGATCACAATCATGCATGTAAGATATGACCAAGCGTTTAAAATCTCTAGCAAAATCCCGTAGGCCTATACATGTCTGTTGACGTTGCGGAACAGTTCGCGTTTCTTCAATATTTACTTTCGTTATTTTTTGTTTCTACGTTTAATTAAATTAAGATTTCGGTGTGTGAAGCCTGTTCAGTGTTTGTGGTAATCTCTCATTTGTGATAATTTGTTTACGTCTAAAAATAGCCACGGTAATCCCCAGCTTGAGGAGACATCACTACACGCACGACTAGCATTTTACCTGAGCATTTATTACAATGATTGTAGGGTTAATTACAACGATGACTGTAATGAGTCATTATCAGAAATTGTCACATTTTTTGGTAAAGGAAAACTCGAAACAAAGTCCTGTGCTGTTACTGCCTTTTTTTTCCCATTTACAGTATAAACACATCAAATTAATTTTAATAAACATTTAAATTGTTATTTCCTAAAAATTGTTGTTTTTGCTACTTTTCAACCTGATAAACTGTAATATATATTTATATTCACTTCTTAATCTTACATAATCGATCATTAATTACAAGCGCTGACATCCAAGTCGATCTAATTTCTACAATTCAGAGACGATGATGAAAAAAGAGTGTATGAGGAGACATGCAATCAAAGCAAATTCCTGTTAAGTTAATGTCTGAGGTTAGAACAACCGTGGCTCTTAATCGACGACTACAGTATGGTTACTTGCTTGTTTATATGATAAAATTGACTATGATTACTAGTGATTGTACTGTCGATTACTTGCGATTTCCTTGTATAACTATTACATGGTAACAAGTTGCTTCCGATTGTTATTACAGAGGTTTTGCAACCTTACGGGTACATGTGAACTACAGTACGCGTACAACTATATTCTATGATTACATATAGGACCGTCCACATGTACATGTGTAGCATGTAAGCTGTGACTTTTCAACTTTCTGTCGTAATATGAAAAGGCAAAGCCTAAAAAGAGCGTTGCTTTTGTTGATATCTGATATTAAAAGGGGCTGGTCGGGGAAAAAATGTCATATTTGCTAAACTGGCATACACATGTTTAAAATACCTTCTAATGAAATATACCGATTCAAATTTTGCTGAAATTAACTCCCTAAGAGTAAAAGTTATAATTATATTAAAGAAATCCTAAATCGTCACCTGACAGTCTAAAACTCTCAATTGACGCAGATCAGTGATGTATTTTTACCGCACGTGCGTCATCAACAAGGCCAAATGTAATCATTGCGGCGAAGAAAAAGATGCATGCAAAAGTCATTGACAGGCACAAGGTATCAATACCGTTATATATAACAACAACATATAGGTAGGAATACTACACTTGCATCATACATGACCTTTGAAAACAATAATTTACGTATAGTAGTTGAGTCCGACATGGCACATGACGGCGTGCTGTTGTTGTTATCCTCACTGCCTCACTTTCGATGATCTGCGCTAAATTTACGCAGGGCTTCCCCGAGATTTCAGTGGTCAAAACTGGACATTGCAAGCAGAACTCTACCATCCTATTGCTGTGGTATAACTTTTGGAAGGCCAGAGAACGCATTTAGACACATTTATCTGTATTTTTTTCCCAGACCAGCCCCTTTAATGATTCAGAATGAGATAATACTGCTTTCAGAATGAGATAATTATAAGAGCACAAGCTCAATGAGATTTTAGACCGTCATAACAATTAGGGGGAGACTTGGGAAAATTCGGCCCCTTTTATTTAAGTCTGTTCTGGGAAGTAGGGCAGCAAGTCTGTTTTTGAAGAATAATCTAACTTTTCCTGTCAGAAGATCGGATGGCCGAACGAGCCCCCCCCCCATGGGGTAAGTTCGGACAGGCATTCGGGTAAGTTAGGCCCCCCTTGAAATCAGCTTAATTACATTGTCATAAAACATGCAACG